TTCTCTAGAGTTGTTTATTTCCTCTGAATAAATTCCATCTCGGAACTATTGGAATGGACCGAATTCATATTCAATTACAGGAATGGGAAAGAGATTCCAAGAAAATTAGCATGACGGTTTGTTCCGTCCTCTTCCATTTTACGGGACTCCTTTCATGCAAGACATGCTCTCGCACTTCAACGAATATATATCCTTAACAATGGAAGAGACTATCATGAACAACTCATATTTGATGGCCTTGCTACTGTGAAGGCCATATGAAAGAGACAAAGAAAGTGTGGTTCTCCTTTCGTTACTCATTTTATATCGAAAACTTTGGCCAATTCAGTGGAAATTAATTCCCTATCGTTGACCATATATTCTTTCATCAAATCAGTTGTCAAAGGGAAAAACCACGCCCTCTCCCTCTTTGGCAATTTGTTAAAGCACACCCAGACTTCCGTTCCCTTTGCTGCATAAAGAGAAAACACCATCTGTCTTCTATGACCCACTTCCTTAACCACTAACCCTTTAATGCATAATTTTTTTCTTTTTCGGTGAAAACGATCCGGTAAGTTTCACTCACGTACTAGAACACGAGTCGAGTGGAAACAATTTTTTTCAAATCAAATTTGGAAGCATTAGGCATGACAATTTTGTTGCTCATTTGATACTAACATCATTTTCATCATTCTAACCCACGCTTCATGAATGCTAGAGAGCTTAGTCGGTCCGTCAACATTCGTACATACCTCAAAACAAAAGAAAATGTAAAAAAATACGGACGACTTGACCCTGGATTAACGTAAAGTTTAAGAAAATTAAATCGAAAGCGGCAATCTGTCATATGACGAAGCCAGATTGGTAATAATTAGGGCTGTCATGATAGATCGATGCATTGATACCACTTTGGATGGTTGGAGGTATCGATTGTTTTTCCAACCATCGCGATGTATCGGTAAATGATTTGAAAGGGAAAATGTTCAATTGGAATGAGGCGAGTGCAGTACAATACAGTCCGCCCGGGCAGGAAAGGAGGCAGCGTGACTCGCATGGGCTTGCTATTTCTGTCACGATCAAATTCTGGAAATGCTGGGACTGACGAAGGGAAGGGGGGGGGGGGATAAAAAAAAGTGGGATCAGAGACAGGAATTGGGTAAGGAGAGGAGAGAGGACGACCGTGAAAATGTTTAAATCTTTAGTTTCAGTCCTCGGCTTCATCTCATCAGGTGCATGCTGCGAAAGTGGACTGTTCTTATACTCCTTTGATTTGGAAACCTATATTGGTTAATGTCCCTCTCTATATTCCTGTCTCTCAAGTATGGAGGCTTAAGTTGTTTAGTATGATTTTCAACTTGCCGAGGGGGAAAGCCACTTAAGGTGAACCCAACCACATTTTTTACACAGACGTTGCTTATTGCATGGCTGTACCGATGTTCGTCAACCGCCGGTATGACAGAATCGGCCGATTTTGCATTTGTCGGTGCCGATTTCCAAAGACCGTGTATAACGATGAAAAAGAAAAAAAATACATAAACAGGTTTGACAACTGATTCACCGCGGCAACTGAGAAAATTAAGGCTGTCCTGATGTCCTCTCCTCGAGTCTCGTCGCCCGTGACAATAGTACACATGAATGGCGACGAGCTAGGTTACCGTATTTTCTTGCGGAAACCAATGAACAGTCTAGGGGATGGAGTCGTTCCTCTTCTCGTCCGAAGTGCATCTCTGAGAGCTCGACCACAAATATCATGGGATCACAAAGGAACACTGATGTTTGATATTATGGATAACAAGAAAACCATCAATGCCGAGAGATTCTGCGAACCATCTCAAAAACTGAGAGCTTCAATGAAGTGGAAGAGACCTGAACTTTGGGGCCAAGAAGTCTGTCTCTTGCACGACAAAGTCCGGTCCGCTTTCGTACAACATTAAGAAGGCTAATTCCGAGGAGCTACGGGAATGCATTTCGAACATCGACAGGGAAGGAAGGTCCCGTGTCCTGACGGTAGAGGTGCAACCCAGTCAAAAAATGTCGTTAGTTTATCTTCGGGCCATAGCTGGGTGAGTTGGCCCATTTTCTTGGCGAACGATTGGCAGGCCAACTCACACTTGTGAGTCACTTGTGAGGTGGCCGGCTAATCATTCGCTCACTTGAGCCACTTCCCGGATACAACTGAGATAAGTCTCCTGTCCCTTTGACACGGTTCCCTATGGTTTCTCACATACATCTTTGGAGAAGAAAATCGAATTCCATTTAACATTTCTCTGATGATGTAACCTTGCTCCGGAATGAGCTAGGAAATTCTTGCCTGGAGGTCCGTGGAAGGATCATTCTACTTTCCACAACCGGCCAGTCGACTGTATCATCTTCTTTTATATTTACTACACAGAGGAAAATGACACTATATATTGTGTCATTTGACGAGCGTATATCTGTCATGAGAGAATTCTTCATATCGGTTGTGGTAAAATGTGTCAGAAGCGTTGACACATTTCAACGCGTCTACAGATGCAGTAAGATGTCAAATAACACACTAGAGGAGAGATTTTCCCAACGGACACGAGCAATTGTGTCCCATGACACACTACAATGTGTGTCCAGTGATACGTCTGGATTATGATCTGGGGACACGGAATAACGTGTCATCAGGCTGGACACATTTGTTTATACTGATGAAGTAAGATGAAGTAATGACATGTTTCAGTAGGTCAAAACTCATAACACATTATTCCGTGTCACCCAGACGATCCTGGACCCACTTTTGTGCGTCATTTGACACATTGATTTCTTTCTATGTACCTTTCGAGTTCAATTACATGTGAGGTGTGTCTAGCCTTCCATAGGATGGTAAACACCCTTGCATTCCACACCTGGATGACTCAGCATCCAGAAAGGGTGTTGCTTGGGATGTTCTTTGCGGTAGGAGTATAGGGTAACCAGGGGTGTAGTTGACCACCCGGTAGTAGTGGACCACTCCTAAGTTTTACTGCTATAAGATGCAGAAAAAGCTTCAGTTACAATATTCCCTTATGTTAGCATTAATAAGTAATGTTCCCCTCAAGGGTTAACAGAAAGTTAGCGACATCTAGGATCTTTTGTAGGCTCTAAGTTTTTCCTCTTAATTTCCCTCCCGAAAGTGCAGCATTCACAAGTTTTCAAACTTCAGCACGTGTCTCACAAAAAACTCATTGAATGTAGGTAATTTGGTTTCGTTGCGTCAATTTTCTATATCAGTTACTGAAATGACTCGCCACAGATCATGTTAGAATCGAAAGTCATAAGATTTAATGCCTCGTTTCAATACATATGGGGTGGTCAACTACTATATGCCTGGGTTAGCCATCTTGGGAAATAGTGGACCTCCCCTGTCCACTACTATCCCGTGGCTGTATGGCCTCAGAACGAGGCTCCACTTTGTCATCCTGCACCTCATACATACATTACATATCAGGTTGTAAAGGTGAAATTTAGACATTTTCCAGAAAATAATTTATTGACAATTAACTCAACAATGACTAGAGTGCAGTCTTGCGTCAATGTATCTGTTGTAGGTTCACGATAAACACTCACGCCCACATGGTTCCGATTCGCCATGCGTTATTCTAACTACTGCCTCTTGGTCTAAGTACAGCTTGTTGATTAATCTCCTGTCCCTCCAATCAACTCCGATTTCCTTCAGTATTGTTCTAACATTTTCCAGATTTTTCTAGAAAAAATCGAAATGTCTAAATTTCACCTTTACAACCTGATACATACATTTCCTTGGCGGCTTTTCCCAACTTAATGGGGTCGCGGTTCGAGCATTCCCAGGAGCGTCCTCCAGTGATCTCGATCCTGAGAAACAGACTCAAGCTCGGCTGGTGGGATGCCGAGCCTCTCGTGACAAAGCCGAGCGACGTAATCACTCCACTTTGTACGAGGTCTTCTTTTTCTTCTGGGTGAAGATATTGGAGATACTGAAGGAAATCGGAGTTGATTGGAGGGACAGGAGATTAATCAACAAGCTGTACTTAGACCAAGAGGCAGTAGTTAGAATAACGCATGGCGAATCGGAACCATGCGGGCTTGGCAGAAGAGTTAGACAAGGATGCCCTTCATCTCCAATTTTGTTTTTGATTTATGCAGAGAAGATGATGAATGAGGCTATGGAAGGGATTGAGGAAGGTGCGAAAGTCGGGGGGAAGCTGTTGAAGGATATATGGTTTGCAGATGACCAAGGTATGGTGACGAGCACAGAACAAGGACTTCAGAAGTTGATGGATGGGTTAAACGCGGTGGCCAAGAAGTTTGATATGAAGATCAATGGGAAGAAGACAAAGGTGATGAAGATGTCTAGGAAAGGAGGAGGAATAATTAACATTGTGATTGACGGCCAGAAAGTGAAACAGGAGTTCGTACTTAGGAGTACCTAAGTACTTAGGAGCTTTGATCATAGATGATGGAAAGTGTGAGGTGGAGATCAGAGCAAGAATAGGAATGGCAAATGATGCTTTTAGCAAGAGAAAGGAGTTATTAACAAAGAAGATGAACCAAGAGGTAAAGAAAAATATGATATTTTTTATAAGGCTTTATATGGGTCCGAAGCATGGACTTTGAGGAAGGAAGACATCAGAAGGTTAGAGGCTTTTGAAATGTGGGTGTGGAGAAGAATGGAGAGAATAAGATGGATACATCGAAGAACAAATGAAGAAGTAATGGAAGTTGTTGGGGGAAAAAAAGAGGACTAGTGAAAATGATTGCGAGAAGAAAGAAGAACTTGATTGGACACATTCTACGCGGAGAATGGTTGTTGCAGGAAGTGATAGAAGGAAGAATGGAAAGGAAAAGACCTAGAGGAAGGAAAAGAATTGGCATGCTGGAGGAACTGAAGGAAGGGTCGTTCGTGAAAATGAAGAGAAGGACGGAGAACAGATTGGAATGGAAAATATGGATGCCTAGGACCTGCCAATAGGCAGAATACTTAAGAGAGAAGATATAGTCTAAGTTCTTCCTAGAATTGCGACTTTCTTGAGATCGACTTAAGGTCTACCATACTCTTCCAACGGTCCCTTGAAAGCCCTTCTGGAAACCCAAACCAAGATTACACGATGGAAAGTAGTACTCTGAGTGGAATGAACCTAATCTCATGAGTTCATCTGTGCACTCGATCAAAAATTCTCGAAGGAAACATCTTTAGCCGCGGAAACTTCAGGACTATTCTGGAGAGAAGTTTAAAAGTTTCTAACCCGCAATCTACACCCTGCAGCGTCTGCATGAACTTCTCGGAGTCCGGATGGAGTACTAGCCAGGGATCACACTGGATTGGGTTCCCTGTAATACGGAGAGACAAAGAGAAAAGGTCGCAATTTTTCAAGAAGGACGAGACAGCGCGAATGGGATTGCAAGCATAGCGGACAACCGTGAGACTCACCCTGAAGAATAAGCTGCCCATCTCCCCCCTGGGAAATGGCCTCAAGTATGGGCAAGAAGGAGTCTTCCGTCAAGTCTGTGATATTGTTGTCGCTAAGATACACCCATGTACTACCTGCGAGACCTGAAATTGGGAACCGCAGTTTGAATTGCTTCAGAACATGCTTATTTTCCCCTATGATGTATAGGGACACCTTCATGACAAGAAACAACGTATCGCTCGCATCACTTCCTAAACGTTTCCTCTTCACCGACACGATGGCAAGTAGGTTAGATTTGATTCTTACAACCAAATTACACATTTTTCATTCAATTTTTCAAAAGACGCATCAAAATTAACGCGAGCGGACCAGGTTACTTTCATATATTTCATTTTCCATTTTTCTCCATCTCACTGAGCTGCTCAGCATCAAGCCATATTTAATTAAAGCCCTACTGCTACTCCCAAAAAGGACGGAGAGGATTCACGAGTCCAGCCTGTTTTGAGGAATCGAACTGACTAATATCTAAGCACGGCAGAGCCTCGCAGAACGACACCCTCAACGCCGTGAGTCAAACGTACTCTTTTAAAAGCCAAACTTACATTCGAACATATCTCAACAATTGAAAAAATGCGCTGAAGTCGACATTCTAAGCCCAAAGTCTGATCAACTCATAGTGAGTTATCTGGATGCCGCCTTAGAGCAGAATGCACAGGGATCGAACCTGCAATGGCTCCAGGCTCCAATCTGACAATGTTGTTCTGCTGGAGGTCAACCTCAGTCAAGACTTCGCTCTGGAATGACAAGGAACCGTTGGACAAAATCGGTCCCAGATTGCAATGGGAGGCATCGACATTCGTCAAATTCGTCATGTTCTCAAACAGTCCAGGAGGAAATTCGGAGATCGGATTGTGACCTGCAGGGGAAGAAGGATGAATGTTCCAATAACATTTATTTTTGCCACCAAATATTAAGATCTGGCTTAAACTATCATAAAAGGGCTAAAACTGACTTGAGAGCACTCTATTGTTCAATTCTTCCGCAATTCACTTTTCCTTTTGACAAAGAGAGATTTGTAATAAAAAAGGAGACGAATGGAACTCAAGGTGAATTAAATTATTCAATAAATGCCAGGAAGAATTGACATTATTGAACACTAAACGCGTATTCATACCAAATCAGAACTGTCTCCCGTTTGAGTATTAGACCTGTTACTTGAATGTACGTGTCAACGAGGGAAAACGCGTTAAGGGAGCGATTCGAGAAAGAAGGCTACTAAAAGATTTCATTCAATTTATGCATGATCGCTCTCACTGATGTC